AATGACATTTTGCTCTCTCAGATAAAGTTTTTCTTTGTGAGACAGGTCTCTTCTTTCCAAATCTGGTACGAAGTTGAAAAAAAAAAAAAAGAAGTACAATACAAAAACTCATCTCTGTCATTAGTAACTGAATCTGTAAAATATAACCACTATTTGACAAATAACGTGAAAACCTCTCAATTCAATTTTCCCTGCAGACAGTTAAGGCGCTTATTATTGTTCATACCTGGATATTTCCGCTTGAATGACGTGACTCCCAAATACTCGCTCACTTGTTCTTGTAACATATAATACTCCCCTGTGTCATCCGGAGGCCACTTGTATTCAGTCAGATTCTCCGCAGGAAAGTATATTGGTCTGTAATGAAACAGAACGGCTCTATACACAGTAAAAGTTTCAATGTGTCAGAGTAAAGAGTGAAAAACTGTTTTGGCCAGCCAATAAAGCCATCAACAGAGGCCAGTTGCACAAACTTAGCCACCATGTTAAGATTGTGTCTAAAGAAGTAGTTTGACCAACAAGCAGTTACCAAGGGGTAATCAGTCTTACTTTTTCAATACAAATAAGCCCAATCTACCTTTTTTATAACTGACTTTTAAAAGTTATGACAAGTCTTTAAGAAAAATAATTAGATGACTAACTTTTTAAGACTAGTCTAAACGGTTTATGCAACCGGCCCCAGATGACAGGTGTGGGTTCATAGAAACACTAGAAGCTACATGAGTGAAAAATTATGGTTCGAGGAAAAACAGCTACATAATTCCTTGTCATGGGAAAGGAATATTTATAATAAATAATATAAATTAATATATGAAACAAACCAACAAGAAAGACTGTTAAGAAATAGTTTTAGATAAATTGCACTTGTAAAAATTGCAAAAATAAAAAAGCACTGGTCAGTTTTGAGATTTTGGGCAGTTTGGCTTTTCATAAGGTGTCGTTTAGACTAGTGGGAAGAAAATATTCCAAATCACTTTTAAGTGTTTCTTTTATTCCACTTTATTATTTATTTATTGCACTTTCCCTTGCAGTTTTCCCTTTAGTTTGTACAATTTTATTTTTCCCTTTTCATGCTGGCTGTTGACAGTATTTTCAGATTTATAAAGTGATAAAAATAGACATACAAAATCCACTCTGCAAAAAAATTACGCAAATTAGAGCATATATATGTATATATATATATATATATTTATTTATATATATTAGTGAAGCGATAAAAATAGACATACAAAATCCACCCTGCAAAAAACTGCAAATTTGAGCATATATATATGGATAATACCTCATTTGCATATAACCAATTAATCTGGGGTAGTATGTTCATATCTACTAGTTTTTTTTTTACCCTATTCCCCTAGGTGTCTTGCCTTAAAAGGAATTTCCAGATCAGCATGGCACAATAGAAAGAGTGTGTGTGTAATGAGCTCTCACCCCAGCTCATGGCTGGATGCGTCACAGCTCCTGGAACTGTCCCCTGACCCCATCCTGCGTCTCTTGGGGGCTTGACTACCATCACTGGAGTTCTCCTCAATGTCATCCTGTTTGGAGAGTCAGAAACATGATTCTGATAAGGATTTTTCAATCTGGATTGAGTGCTATTATGTTCAGAAGGGCTACCTTGGTCTGAAGCCCATAAAATCATACTATGAGGCCTTGAAAAGTATCAATGACTGTCTAACAACAGCGAGGAAGACAGATGGGTTCCATTCATATGCATTAATTTGTTTTAAAAGCATCCTTTCTCTGAGCACCGTCTGTTCATCTATGTCTTTAGCTCCATCGGCTAGCAGGCTAATAGTAAATAAACAAAGACGACTGTTGCTCACATTCGCGCTGTTATAGAAGCAGTTTACATAGACGCAGATACAATGCTATAACTGTTGTCTGTGCAACAAGATGTAACCCTAAACACCCACAAACCTTCACAGACTGCGTCCCAGGAGTCGCGGGATTGCTATCGCACGGTCTCGGTGAAAGAACCGCTGCCATGTTGATGCTCTGCTGCTGAAAGAGCGTCACATCACAGTCCGACCGGAAACTAAGAACGCGAGGAAGCGTTCCGACCACCACACACACACACACACACACACACACACACACACACACACACACACACACACACACACACACACACAGTCCTGTGTATCACACACTGTAATAATATATTAATTTAAAGCTTTTATATTGAAAACAAGATTTCATTTAAATCACTTTCTTATTTGTATTTGATGTACTTTTAATTGGAACAATTTATACTTAAATTATAGGAACTATTTGTTATGTGTTTGAATAATTAATTGAATAGACATAACTATTTATTACTTTATTAATCGTTTATTTATTAAGGTTTTTTTTTCTTTCATTTAAGTTTTTTTTTTTAATAAATGTTGTTTGCACTCCCATTTCCTTATGTCATTTGTTACACTGTTAATGTCTTTTAAAGTGAAACAATGAATGTCTGGTAATGTCTTCTTGTGTCTTCTACTTAAAGCCATGGAGCATCCTGATGAGTTATTTAAGATTATTATTATTATTTAATATCTTACATTTACATTTAGTCATTTAGCAGATGCTTTTATCCAAAGCAACTTACAAATGAAGACAATGGAAGCAATCAAAATCAACAAAAGAGCAATAATATGCAAGTGCTATGACAAGTCTCAGTTTGCCCAACGCAGTAAACGTAGCAAGGAACTATATATATATATATATATATATATAT